GGTGCCATATTTCATGAGTGTACTGAGGGTTCCCTATAGATCAGCTTTGAAATAGGAACCCATGTCTGCAAACGTAAAATAGCAGCGCTAGGGCGGCATTTAATATAATTTTGTTTAAACTTGGCGCCTCAATGTCGAAGAGCAGGCACATGCATTTTACCCCTTTCTAACTCTTAAGACTCACCTGCTAGAGTAGATGTTGGAATTGGCGCCCTCCATTTTCAATGAATGCGTTACATCAATGAAAGAAACTTTGACGCACCCTTTCAAATATTCCAGGTGTCTCATGGATCACGTCACATGCAACAAGTGTTCTGGCCAACAGCTCGAATTCATTATCCACAGGTGTGTCGTAGATCAGGGTTTTCATATGGCCCCAGCCGAAATAGTCCAGAGGTGTCAAGTCTGGTGATCGGGGTGGCCAAGGCACTGGGCCTCCTCTTCGTATCCAACGACCATGAAAATCAGCATCCAGGTAGTCTCATGATACAATGCTGAGGTGTGTCGGCACTCCATCATGCTGTATCCACATTTGCCTCCACACAATTAGTGGCACATCTTCTAGCAAAGTCAGAAGGATATGTTCCAGGAATACCTTATAAGAGGGCCCATTCAGTAGCGGTGGTAGGAGGATAGGCCCAATCAAGTGATTGCCAATGATGCGCACCCAGACATTGACAGAAAATTGTGCCTGGTGGTAACCAACTACAGTAACGTTGGGGGTTTCGTCAGCCCAAACGTGGCTGTTTCAACAGTTGAACCAGCCATCCATTGTAAACTGTGCTTCGTCTGTGAATAACACGTGATTCAGGAAGTTGGGCTGATGTAAACACTGGTTCAGTATCCACTGGCAAAATTGAACTCATGGTATGAAGTCAGATGGACCTATGTCATGTACTCACGTTGGATGATATGGATAAATTTGTTGGTCTTGCAGTATCCTCCAAACACTTGATTTTGATGTCCCCACAATCTTGGAAATGGCACGAGTGCTGGTGGATGGCTCCTCCTCTATGCAATGCAGTTCGACATTGAGGCGCCAAGTTTAAACGAAATGATTTTAAATGCCTCCCTAACGCTGCTATTTTACGTTTGCGGACATGGGTTCCTATTTCAAAGTTATTCTATAGGGAACCCTCAGTACACTCCTGAAGTATGGCACCAAACTCCTGGGGCACACTGTGTAAATGGAGTTATTGGATATCATCAGTATGTGTTTCAATGTAACAGATCAGCTACCGATCAGATCTTTTGCATTCGTCAGATACTGAAGGAGAAATGGGAATACAGTGATACAGTACATCAACTATTCATAGACTTCAAGGAAACCTATGATTCAGTTAGGAGGGAAGCATCATACAGTATTATCATAGAATTCAGGGTATGCATGGAAATAGTTAGGCTGATTAAAATGTGCTTTAATGAAATGTATAGTAAAGTCTGTATAGTTAATATTAGAGTCAATTTTACCGACCACACAACATATTTTTATTATTATTACACTACATGTTTCGACCTCAAGAGGTCATCCTCAGGTGTACGAACACAGCTGTATAATTACACGCAATGACATTTGTCTTCTCTCTTATTCGATCCTGTATCTTATTCAGGCCCATGCTCAATAATATATCGAGTTCCTTTCACAAAAAAACAAGTTAAAGTATTATTCTAAATGTCAAAAGTTAAAATTTAAAATTAAAATTTAAAATTTGTGAATCGAATTTCAATTCAGATCACTAGTTATGCTTTCACTTTCACTTGTTATTCAGTCACTTCCTACTTATGCTCATTACTGCGTCAAGTTCACATTTACTAGTTTTAATTATTATTGGTTAAAAGTTCATGAATTAAAGTTCAATTTTATTATATTGATTGCACTTTTCACTTTTGGAGGTCTTGCCGTTTTTTCACTTCCTCTGATGTTGCTGGATCCGTTACGGTCCTTGTCATGATGGCTACTGATATTTATCTGATAATTTTCATGTCCAGAATGGTCCAAAACAAGGAGATGCGTTATTGTTACTGCTTTCCAACTTTAGAATATGCCATTAGGAAGGTCCAGGAAAACCAGGTTGGACTGAAATTAAATGGGACATATCAGCTGATGATCTATGCTGATGATATGAGTCTACTGGATGATAACAAAAATACCATAAAGAAAAACACAATCTTTAATTGACACTAGTAATGAGGTTGGTCTAGAAGTAAACACAGAGAAAACTAAGTAAATGTTGCTGTCTCATCACCAAAATGCAGGGCAGAATCATGACCTAAAAATACCTAACAGATCTTTTGAAAATTTGGCACAGTTCAAATGTTTTGGAATGATAGTAACAAATCAAAATTTGATTAAGGAGGAAATTAAGAGGAGATTGAATTTGGGTATTGCTTGCTACCATTCAGTCCAGAACCTTTCGTCTCCTCGTCTACTGTCTAAAAACACAAAAGTTAGAATATACAGAACTAGAATTTTGCCTGTGGTTCTGTATGGGCATGGAACTTGGTCTATGACATTAAGGGAGGAACGTGGACTGAGGGTGTTGAGGAGAATATTTGGACTGAAGAAAAATGGAATGACAGGAGGTTGGAGAAAACTGCATAATGAGGAACTTCATAACTTGTACTGTTCTTTGAGTATAATTAGAATGATCAAGTCAAGGAGGATGAAATGAACAGGGCATATAGCATGAATGTGGGAGAAGAAGAATGCATATTGGATATTGGTTGGAAGCCAGAAAAAAAGAGTCTGCTAGGAAGACTAAGATATAGACTGGTGGATGACATTCAAATGAATGTTAGAGAGACAGGATGGAGTGTGGTGAATACTGTAATGAACCTTTGGGTCCAATAAAATCCTGAGAAGTTTTTGAATAGCTGCATGACTGGCAGCTTCTCAAGAAGGGCTCAGCTCCTTGAAGTTAGTTCATATAAAATAATGTAGTGACTAGTGGGGCTGGCAGAATCCTTCATAGTATGGCAGAGCTATCAATAAACACTTTTTGGATGCAGATTGCACATATATCATACTGATACTTTAACATTATACAGTATTTTTTTCAGTACATACTTATATAACATTAGCATCAGATTTGTTTTTAAATTATCTCTTGCATTTGTTTTATCTAGACTGGAACTCTGCACTTTTCATAATTCTGAATGGAACGAAAGAAGAGCACTTAGATATGTTAGATGGAGGAATTATTCAGCGACTGTTAGAAGAAAAATGGAAGACGTTTGCTAGGGTGAGTATGGCTGCATGTCTTTGAAAGAAATACCTGGCCTTTCAAAATGGCTTTGCAAGATACAGTCTGTATATTACAAGTTAATGAAAATTTAGAATCATACACTATTGCAATTAGGTTTACTAGTCATTCATTACATATTCAGTTTCAGTTTAAACAAAATCATGAAGTGTGTAAACATTCGAATTGAGGAAAATTTGTTTCAAGCTTTTTTTCACTTAATACATCTAATACATCTTGGCTGCAACTACACGATAACTTATAGTGTACTTGTTAGTTTAAATTGAAATTAAAAGTATTGTTTCTCTGATGAGAATTCTTGTGGTACAGCAATATCACTTGTTTAGTGTATCCACTAAATGCACTCGATACTTTGCTGTCAGGTGGACAAACAGGTAAAATGAGAAATCTTTTCCTTACAGTAGTAAGGCAAGGGACTCATATGTGGCATGTTTAAGTAATTTTACAAGCAAATTAATTCTATAATAAAGTGTTATCATCACATCCATTATAACAAAATAATAATCATAGCATTAATTGTGTTATAAATTTTAGTCATTTTGCAGACTGCATTTAATTTGCCTCGCAAATAACCATACTGATATTTCTATGCAGCCATGTGCAACTCTGGTGAATTGGAATATATTGGACCATGCTGCTATACAATTAAGCAGTTCAGTATCAAATAGTCATTGAGACTCGTTTCTTTTTGTGGCTGCAGTGTTTTTTTTTTTTTTTTTTTTTCGTTTGAGTGATGTATAATAAATTGTTTGAACAGAGATGCTTATTTTATACCACTTCAAGGTTTTCAGAGAAATGCGATTACATGAAGATAAAAAATGATTCCAGCAGTGTTTTCAGGCATGGAAAAGATGGAATGTGTTTATAATCTAAGAAAAACACTCTGACAGGTACATGTGTGCTTAACTGAAATTAGTGGCAGCATATTTTTCTTTACACACTTATTCCAGTCATTTATTTGTCAGGCGTTTATTTTCCCTTATTGTTGACTTTCTGTTAAAAATGTATGGATGAATGAGGCTGATAACATCAGAGATCTTTGTTATGATGGATTGATGGTTTATTTTAAGCTTTAATTAAGGATCTGAGAAATTGTCAATTCCTACTAAATGGAATTTGATTATGAGTAACATTTCAAATAATGACAGGTTACAAATAAAAATATTTTTTTGTTGAACATGACTGCTTTCCACAGTTTCAACTTTACTTCAAGGCGTTGATCTGCAGAAGCATGCAATTTATTGCTGAGTTAACATTCTTTCTAGGCCAAGTAAGTTTATCTATGTAATGAATTATGCAAATTTGTCATCAGTAATTTATAGCATTTATGGGTGCTGTCAGTGATGCATGACACAAGTAATAATGTAAATCTTCATTTTTCTTATTTGTCTCTTTATAGAATCAATTCCTCAAACGTCTAGCTATATTGTTTCTACATCTGTTTATGCTCAGTATGGCAATTTATTTAAGACCAGTTGATCATAATAAGCCTCTTCTGGGTGGAACTGAGTGGAATGACTTGGGTCGCTATGGTTTTGAAATTGGTACTGTTATTGGTGTGTTGTGCTATGTCATTGTCCAGCAAGGTGAAGAGATTAAAAACCAAGGCTTCTGGAGTTTCTGTAAGCAACTGGTATGTTATATACATAAATGTACATTTTGACAAATTCTTATCACCTGTTGCAGCAATGTAGTATAAGTTTGAACTGTTGAGTATATTGTGCCATGTTATTGTCCAGCAAGGGAAAGATCTTAAGAATAATGGTTTCTGGCATTTTTTATACTGTAAGAGCTAGATGATTTCCTTAATAACTGATCAGTTCACTTAGACAATACTCATATAAAGATAAAAGAGATACTAACAATCTTTGGAAAATGTAATTATTAAAATTTGATATATGCGGTGTTCTTACTATTCTTGGTGTAACAATGCTACAATTTTATTGTTTCATACTGTATATTAAATATGAGATTTTTATATGCATATATAAAATATTATTGCCCTTCATTAAACACATTAATCCTTCTTGTTTAGTGCTTTATGAGATCATCTCTTAATTTTTTAGCATACATTTGATCCTCACCTGCCTAGGAAATTTTCCATTTGGTGTGACTTAGTGCCATAACATGGGATTATTTTCATTTACATACTAATTTATGATAATTAATTATATGTGAAGAAATGCAATGTAATGAAATTTTCCAAGTGAAATAAAGTAGACTGCTGTCCATAAGAAATGACACCCAGTATTTTGTCCATACTGTAAACTTCCTTAGTGTAGATGAAGTGTAGTTGTCAATCACTTCTAGCTATCACCTATAACTTCTTACATTACTGAGACCATCAGATGTTTAAATAGTTGAGGAATTCATACTAGATACATCATGACCTCTTCAAGAAGTTACCATCCTGGATTTTATTGGATATACATATAACTAACACATTAAGCTCACTAATAATAATAATAAAATTTTTAGTGCTTCAAGAAAAACGTACAGGCGACAAAATCACCACAGTTGTAAAATCAGTCCCAAATAGTAACATATACTGTAATAAAACAGTTAAATAATACAACTTAGTCAATGCTTAGTATAATAAATCAATAATAACTAAAATATGGACATTATAAGCAATTGATAATAAAAGTATACATACATTTATACGAAGTCTACAAAAACTACTACACATAAGTGTATCTAAATAAAACAAATATTCACCTATATTCTCTTTCCTTTCTTTTGACCACACCAAGTATTCATTTATCGAATAAATCACCATTGTTCACCATTGTGCTATTTTTATGTTTTATGGCCAAATATTAAAGAAGAATGTGTATAAAAGGCATTGCCATGAAAATTCTGTGGAACACTAAAAGATTAAACAAATTATGTTGTTTCTCTCTGCTTTGTAATATCAGATGAACAGTAATAATTAATGTTAATATTTTCTTTTATTTGTTTAATTCTGGTCCATAACATCAATATTATGAAAAAGCTAAATAGTTCCATTCAGTGTGACTGGTTAAGATTTTCTTATTTCAATTATTCACACCCTTACATGTTTCGGTCTTCAGAGACCATCTTCAGAGGGACACCTTTACATCAATACAGTTAGAAGCCACTATTACAGTACATGTTTTACAAGTTAAAATATATACATAAAATATAAATAATATACAATTGGCTGTAAAATCTAAAGTTTTTACAACTACAGCGGCTGTTCCAATACTTTAAAACATTTATAGTTAGTTTGTTAAAATTCTATTGGAATTCGTAAACCAAGCTGGTTCGTATCATCCCTCTTATTATTTTTTTGACGGGGGCCGAATGTGTGCCACCTTGTCGTTCTCAAGAAGAGGGTTCTTTAATGTTGTCCTGTAAGTGTTTGTGGCCTTGTTTTTTTTTTNTTTTAAAGACAACACAGCAGGCCACAAACACATACAGGACAATTGTATATTATTTATATTGTATGTATATATTTTAACTTTTAGCACTAATAGTGGCTTCTAACTGTATTGATGTAAAGGTGCCCCTCTGAAGGTGGTCTCTGAAGACCGAAACGTGTAAGGGCATGAATAATTGAAATAAGAAAATCTTAACCAGTCACACTGAACAGAACTATTTAGCTTTTTCTTAATATTTATATTAGTAGCTTGATATACATGGTAATTCATGACATTTTAGTCACACAAGAATCTACTCAAGATGCATTTAGTATAATTTTCTGAATATTTTAACATTTGTGTACAGATCCATGCCCCAGATAAGGCCATCTTCCTACTGTCAAACTTACTGATTCTGGCATGCATTCCATTTCGATTGACTGGAGATGTTATTACTGAGGAAGCCATTTTAGTGTTTGCTCTTCCTGGGTCTTGGTTTTTGCTCATGTTTTTTGCAGGGTGAGTTGAATTTTTTTATGTGCATATGTGTGGTAATTCAGACTCTTGTGTATGTTACACATGAATTCTTTCAAGATATGAATGCAATTAGGACTGTTGTTGTTTTATTATACAAGAAAGATATACAGAGCTTCAGAAACGTCTAAAACTGCTCAGATAATTTCAAAATTAAGTAAAAATGTGAGAAATTTTGAATGTATTGTGACTATAATATAATGCAACTTGCATTATAAGCCAGAACTATAAAGATGTGAACAGTAGGAATGTATGGAAAGTGATATCATCCATTTAGTATCTCTTTAATTATGTACAGAAAACAAACACTATAACATATTTGGTGTGACTTGTACATGAATAATGCCGATTAACAGACGTCATAGGTATGTTTTGGAGTATGATCAGCGGTTACAGAGGCTGCAGGCATGGGACTCGCATCAGCCATATCATGACTTGAACTGGAGACAAAGATTCATCAAGATACTATATTTACTATTCTTTTGCTGTCTCAAGCACATTATTTATACTGTAATACTAATTTTGTAGTCTTCTAAATTGGGTATTTAATTAAGTACTGGTATATAACCTGTTACAGATGTGGGATTCTTGAATGACAGGAATTCAGATCATTTGAGTTTTGGGAATTGCTGACATTATTTCTCTATACAATTTCTTTATTAAAACCGTCACAACACAACAATATTAAGGTCAGTACCTAGTTTGGCTCTGCTACATGTTTTGGCTATTAATAGCCATCATCAAGCAAATACATGGCTAACACATATACACCACTGAACTGCAGTACTAATAAAATTGGATACAATAATATTCATTATATTAAAATACAATAAATTAGATTATATCAAATACAATAAATTAGATTATATCAAACAAAAGTTATAATATAAAACAAGAATAAAATTCTTTGAGTGATGTTTTATATCATCAAGTCAGTCGTTGGTTTTTGTGATTTTGTGTGTAGGGAACATAAACAAAGACTCATTGTTTACAGTCCCTACAGAACGGACAATACTTTGTACGATGAGGCACCGACTAAATAATTAACATTAATATTATTACATCTACATCACGAGCCTCCAAAACAATTTATTATATATATATAAAATATAGAATACTCCAATTTGTCCATGGGAACACAACAAAATCACAAAAAAACAACAACTGACTCAATGATGTAAAACATCACTCAAAGAATTTTATTCTTGTTTTATATTATAACTTTTGTTTTATATAATCTAATTTATTGTATTTTTATGCCAAGTATTTTAATATAATTAATATTATTGTATCCAATTTTATTAGTACTGCAGTTCAGTGGTCTATATATGTTAGCCATGTATTTGCCTGATGATTGCTATTAATAGCTGAAACATGTAGCAGAGCCAAACTAGGCACTGACCTTAATAGTGTTGTGTTGTGACGGTTTTAATAAAGAAATTGTATATTATAATACAACAGGATGCATGAAATGAAAATTATTTCTCTATGATAGCATGAGTTTCATGTTGGCTAGCAATGGAATTTTCTCATGTGAGATTGATTAGATATTGAATGAAGCAGCCTATGCTGTCCTATGTACAATAGCAAACAGATAAGTTATTCAGACATGTTCTGTTACATATATTATTTGTTCATAAAGAAGTTAGAGTTTAATGCTTCCTGCTGGATTATACAAACACACGTTGGTTTGTAAGTTTGAGGCAATAGAAAGTGCCGTATTTGGTTGATGGAGATTTTATGTTTAGTTGCATTACCCTTGTTTATTTTGTTCATTTTAATTTGTTAATCTTGAACTTAGAATGGCAATACTCAACCTGTTTGTGAACATCCTACATGATCTTGGGCAAAGTGAGGACTCTGCTATTTCTTAAGGGGTTATCCATCTATCCTGGATGTGTGGTTAGAGCTAATGGGATTTCCAGAGTTTATACAGGATTTGAGAATACAATTCTGATGATGCCTGAGGTCAATCCTTGGGATTCTAAAAGTTAACTTTCTGGTTAATTAATTCTGGGGTGACCTTTTGTTTCCATTCTTAAGTTCAGTCATATCAATCTGTTGAACCATAGTGACTACCATGAGGTCTCATTGTATTTTATTTAAGGTGCAGGTTTGCTGATGGTATAATATGACCTACAATAGAGCATCAAAGGGGCACGCAATAGCATAGTTGGTTAAGGCACTATGCTACAAGCCGGAAGGTCATGTGTTCAAGTCTCGATGAGGTCATTGGATTCTTTCCAGTTTACCTAATCCTTCCAGCTGCATTATGGCCCTGACATCGACTCAGCCTCTAACAGAAATGAGTACCAAGAATATTCCTGGGGTAAAGGGCGGCCAGTGCATAGGGCTGACAACCTTGCTGCCATCTATGAGCCGATTGTCTAGAAAATGTGGGAACCTCAACATCTCACAACCCTATGGGCCTCCATGGCCTGTTACAGAGATACCTTTACTTTTTACTTTACAGAGCATCAAAAATCGTGGTTTGAATTGCTCCCTCATGTATGGTGGAGTGTTGTGTTATACTGTATGGCAGTATGGTATTTTATTTCATTTATTCTATTCCTATTCTGTTCTGTTCTATTGTATTATATTATACTTTAGTCTGTTCTACTCTATTCCATTGTGTGCTATTGTATTGTATTGTATTGTATTGTACTGGTATTGTATTCTATTCTTTTCTATCCTAATCATGTCCTTCGTATGTTGTCCATTGTCAATGGCTTAGATCATGTCTACAACATTTTAGGGGCTGCCTGTGTTCACATTTTCAGGTAAGGAGACAAAAAAGGAGATGAAAAGCCTACTCAGTCAGGCCCATTCAAGAAAAGTAGTCCATTATTTTTTACCTGAAAATGGAGACCAAGCCAGTCTCAGGCATTGTAGATATAATCTGAATTACATGCAATGCTCAATGTCCAGAAAATATTCTTAATTTAAATTTGAGTGCTGTGTCCTATAACCAAAGACTGTAACAGGCTCCTAAAGGCTCATTTACATTTCTTCTTTTTCTTTCCAGTGCCATTCGCTTGACCGGGCCATTTGTTACAATGGTCTACTCTATGTTAGTTGGTGACATGCTTACATTTGGAATAATCTATTCAATTGTTTTATTTGGTTTCTCACAATCATTCTACTTCCTGTATAAAGGATATCCTGGAGTTAAAACATCTCTGTACCATTCCTATTCTTCAACGTGGATGGCTTTGTTTCAGATTACTCTTGGTGACTATAATGTAAGCATAGTTCCTAATTAATTATGAAATAATAAAAACTACATCTGTAGGCAATTTAATTAAACAATTAAAAGTAGCAAGCGCAAGTAGAGAGATATGTAAACAAATATATTCTTGATATTGATCATGACTGCCTTGTCTCCTCTGTGATCATGTACAATTAATTTCAGGCATATGATTAGTTTCAAGCATATTTGTGAGGGAATACCTTCCTAAACATGATACTGTACTGTACAGTTCTTGAATTCTGCATTTATATTATTTTTTACAGTTGATAAATGACTATTGTCATGACAGCAGAATTAACTTTGTAGTTGGTGTAGCAGCATTTTTCACTGTAAGTTCAAACTACCACCTTTTACTTACCAAGTAAAGTAAAAAATGAAAAAGTGAAGTTATCCCTGTAACAGGCCATGAAGGCCCATATGGTTTTGATAGGTTGAGGCTCCCACATCTTCTAGACCATCGGCTCACAGATGGTGGTAAGGGTGTCAGCTTTACGCGCTGGTCACCCTTTATCCCCCAGGAAGATTCCTGCTACTCATTTCTGTTAAAGGCTGAGTCGACATCAGGGCCATAGTGCGACTGGAAGGATTAGGTGAAATGGAAAAATTCACCTCATTGGGACTGGAACCCATGACCTTCCAGTTAGTAGCATAGTGCCTCAACCTGCTATGCTATCGCATACCCCTCTACTTACCAAGAAGATCTGTATCAGTGAATCACAAGATCATTCTTACATAAATGAGGGATTATGTTTTCCTTTGATCTGTATGTAATATATTTTTAAATTATCATCTGGGAAATGATAATTGCAAAAGACCTCCATTGAGCCAGTGAACAGTAATAGAGAAAATGCTTTGAAATGGAATGTTTTAGTATAGCTTGGATCAAAATCTAAGATGTTGGAAAACTGGATATTTAGAAAAAATTTACTGGAACACAATGAAGACTGAGAAATTCTAGATCACCTGGTCATGTATTGTAGCCCAGTCCTCATTGGAAACATTGTAAATGTTCTAAATTGGGAGAGGGTAGTTTTGGAATATAACATGTTATATGCAGAGGATATTTTGGTAGTGTGATATTATATGCATATTTTTCATACTATAAAAATAAAAATATGTTAATATGTTACAGAAATGACAAATATTGGAAGTTAAAGATAAATTACAGTTCTTATTTTTATTTTATCTTGTCAAAAAACTTAAAAAGTATTACCTACACACCCCCTCTTGCCCCACCTTTTGTTCTAGAAGAAAATGACTGAATATTTTGATGAGGGCTTTATTTGTGGGGTGGAAATCCTAACCATCTAATGGTGTAGAAGTTTTGCAAAGTGCTCTAATCTCCTGAGGTCCTCAGCTAGGATTTAGTCCATTCCTTCCAAAGATATTTATAAAACATATGTTTGTGTGGGTCTTATAAACTAGGAAGATAACAAACATTTGGAAGAAGTTTAGAAGTACATTAAATTATACACGTATCAGTGTTATCTATTTTAAAATTATTTAATTTGTTAACATTATTATATGCTGAAGTCTCTTGTGTGACATACTTCCTTTGTTTCAGTATTCAGAATTGAGTCTCACATCATATCCAACATTATCAAAAACAGTCTTCACGATTTTCATGATTCTTGTTCCAATTCTGTTGTTAAACATGTTGATTGCCATGATGGGCAATACATATGCTCATGTCATAGAACAAAGTGAAAAGGAGTGGATGAAACAGGTATGTGTGTTTTCATGCAACTTCAATAACTTGTCCTTATTGAGTAAATTGCTAAATGTACATGAGTGTCATTATTACTGCCACAGTTTACAGAATGATTTCTTGGAATTAAAATTTGTAAAAACGTTCATATGAATATGTACCCTTAAAAGAGTTATTATCATTAGAAAATGTCAGCACTTGTCATCACATTCTGAAAAACAAATATTCCAATTTAATATTTTGTTCATTATATGATGTTTTTAGGGATCCATTTGATACCAGACGTTGTGTTGATGTTACAGTACCTGTAGTAGTACTCTACTTTGGATAAACACTGTTACATATTGTGTCCTAAGTCAGCCTGAAGCAGTCTACACTTATGAAAGCATATTACACATCAATTCCACATGGAAAGTGGATGTTCATTTGTTGAATTAGTGGACATGCATCTTGTGCTGTGAGAGTGCAAATGAAATTTTACGGATGGTGTTAGAGAATGCAGTGAAAAATGCCCTAATCAGAGAGTGCCAAATCATCATACTTTCCTTTCAGTTGACTGCCAACTCTGTGAGACAAACATTTCAGGGAATGTGATGGAATGTTGGCTGTCTCCATTCTGTGTGTAATGTATGCTAGAAGAACAGCTCCGTGAGGTCTCTGAAAGGCAGCCTACCATCAGTACCAGTACCATTATTATTAGTTGATTTTTAATGTCACAGTTTTTGTATTCTGTCTTTTGTTATCTATAAAGGAAGACTTGGAACTGATAATTCCACATTTATTATAAGTTGTATGACTTATTCTGTATCCAACAGGCTTTCCTACTGTAGATTTGTAGAATGCAAAATAAATTTGAATGTAAATTTGAGTATCTTGCTGCTTGTATACACTATACATTACAAGAACAGCAGTTGTAACCCTATAGCATTCAGTCTGTGCAAGACTTAGCACTACATGATGCACCTGCAACATGCATAATCTGTCAATGGATTTTGTGACAGTTGACCAAAGATCCTACATTTACAGTAGAGGTTTTAGTCACGGATGAATCATGCTTTATTAGGACTGGGATTGATGACATATGAAGGTGAAATATTTTTCACAGTTTTTCCATCTGATGATATGTATAATATGGAAAAATATGAAGCTATGATGGGCTGGGCATATGGCTGGGCTGGGGAAACAATGAATATGTACAGAATTTTGGTGTGACAATGTTATGGAAAGTGGATTATCTGGAAGGCTGAGAAGAAAATGGGAGAATAACATTGAGAACGACTTTAGGGAGATAGTTTATGTGGATGGGTGATGGATGAAATTAGCTTAGGATTATGCTTTGGTGTCAGCCATGTTGAGTTCTGCTGCTGAATTGTTAACTAAGCAATATAAATCCAGATTCTAGTCATCAACAAAGTTGACATGGCAAACTTGGCAGAACCTGCATCACTAGTTTGTGATGGTATGTAAAAAATAATGGGTGGATATTCAAACTTAAATTGTAATGAAAAAAGATAAATAGGCTGTGGAGGCCTATAGGGTTGTCAGAGATTCGAGGCCTCCACATTTTCTAGACAGTCAGACCGCAGATGGCGGTGAGGTTCTCAGCTTGATATGCTGGCTGCCATTTACCCCCCAAGAAGATCCCAGCACTCATTTCTGGTAGAGGCTGAGTCAACCCCAGGACCAAAATGCAACTGGAAGGATTAGGCCTATTGAAAAATCCAGTGACCCCACTGGAAATTAAACCGTTATTTTCTGGCATATAACCTCAACTAGCTTTGCTACAGTTGTAATGATGGAAACTTAGTGCTCATGTATAGTCATGATACAGCAGTACTTGCAGGGTACTTAAAGACTCCAGGATGTAACCATATTAATACGTGTAGCATTAACATTTCTTCAATCCAGTTCAAATGAAATAATTATCCACTATTAAGATACAAAATTAATTTGTGAAGTTTATTTAAATTGAGTCATTCTTTGCAACTACTCTTTCCTTTCATTTTCAAAACAAACTGAAGCTATATATTAAGAAGTATCATTATGAACAAAATCAGTTTCCTAGCAGCATGAAGTTAAAATTACTGTTCTGTTAACTGAAATGTTTAAATTTTGTTATTTCCAAACAATATTAAACATTTCTTTATATGTTAATACTTGTGGACAGTGTTTAGAATTGTAGGATTTTTTATTTTTTTTTAATGACCGATATGGATTTTTGACACAAGATTACACTGAAATTCAACGTGTATTTTCTAAGCGACAAAAATTATATTTTTGTTTTGTCTGTTTTCTGATATCTTTTGTCATGGCTGTGTTTTCATGTGTCAGATGTTAACGGTTATTACAGAGCAGGATCTTTCTATCTCATTCAAGTAATTTCAGAGTGTTTTATTTTTTTGGTTTGGTCTATGTAAAATTTGTTGTATAGGAGCAGTTGCATTCTGTTGAGCCTAGAAAGCATGGTATTGAATTAGTTAAAATACAGTATGTTCAGAAAATACTTAAAAATACAGTACAGCTATAGAATATTGCTGAAAAGGAGATACACTCTAAGGGAATGAATCACCTGTATAATTGTATTATTAACAGTTACTTTTCAATTTTACATTATGTTTAGAGATGGCTAAAATTTTACTGTACTCAAAATGTTTTATTTCAAAATCCATCCTGAGACAATAACTGTACATATGGTAACAGATTTGATCAATGCATTGCTAGGCAACAGCTCTGTAAACATGGTCCAACATGCAACAACAGAGGAGGCTGTGTTTCCCATGTCTGTGATGATGTCACACAGTGGTGGGTGGTGGTCACATGACATGTGTTTCTTGTGATGTGTGTCTGTTCCTTGGCTATATAAGTGACAGAATTTATTTAGTTCAGTGACAAGTCAGTTCTCGGTAGGAGATAGTTGTGGGAAGTTTGTAATTGAAGAAGAGTACAAGAAGTTAACCTGTGAAGATTCAGTATGTGATTTGAAGACTGTGTGCTGTAGCACAGTGATATTGAGAGTGTGTGATTTAGTGAGACTTTTATAGTTCCTGTGTTTTAAATCCATGAGAACTAGTGCAGATAGACTATGAAGATTAGTGTGGAGTAATTGTAAATTGTGTAAATCAGAAATAGTGTTACAATTATTTTTAGTTACGACCTGTAAATATCCAATAAATCCAATTATCAATCCAAACCTACATCTATGTCACTATGACACGTGACAATATAAATTGCATATGCTGTACTTAGTTGATGGCCCATGTATAAATGTACATAAATTCGGTTAGTCCATGAATATAAAATTGTGTACATAAGCATAGATTTACAAACACATGATTATAGCCAGTATATATACTCATATATAGATGTGCGCATGCAAGTAGACAGACCTACTTCAGAACTTGCAATCTGACAAATGATTGTATTTAGTCAATCAATTCTTATCAGTGTGCTAAATTAAATTAAGTTTTTCATAATTCATAATTTTATTTACATCCATAACTGTAAAATATACAATCGGATAAAGTCAAAGGGAATATACAGATTTAATAACAATCACACCTAACATAATCAAAGAATACATAAATACTTAAATATATTATATTAAAGAAAACCACCAGCACATGCTTTAACAGACAATTACAGTCATTTAATTCAACATCTTACATATAAAAAAACTCCTGAAGAGAGTAGAAGGCATTATGCAACAAATAACACTTCAATTTCCTCCTAAACACTTTAAAATCAGATACATTCTTTAACTCCATAGGAAGATTATTGTATAGTTTTATGCCCATGTTTATCACACTTCTCTTACAACGATTTGTATTACAATGTTGGGCATACAGATTATGTTTATGCTTTGTATTGTAATTATGCACATCAGAGTTCAGAGTTGTATAGATTCTATTTTTTATGATAAAACATAAAATCTCCAGTATATACAAAGAAGTAACAGTTAAAATTTCTAACTCACCAAACAGCCTTCTGCAGGATGCCCGATTATCAACGCCCATAATGGCTCTTATGCATTTTTTTTTACTTTAAAAACTGTATCTATCTCTTTACCTCCACCACCCCAAAACATAATACCATACTTAAATATGGATTCAAATTTAGTAAAATAACATTTCTTAATACCTGTAAACTAACAGAATTACGTAAGGATTTGATCAGATATAGAGCCTTGCTCAGCTTAAGGTAGATATATTGAGTGTGATTCAACCAGCTCAAATTTTCAGAGATATCAATACCCAAGAATTTCACCGAAGATGAATATACTAATTCCCTATTGAATAAACGTATGACCGGTCTGTTCCCAGAAGTAGATCCTTTTCCATGGAAAAATAATACAAAGAAATATCAAAATAATATCAAAGAAAATGGTAGGTGAGTGATAGTTTACTGGAGGAAAAGGACAGCACTGTGACATTGCATTACAAGGTTTCCTTCATTCATATTTGTCATGCATTGTAAGGCTAAGAATATTGTACAACTGACTGTATTATTATCTGTAGATAGTTTTATGACTTCTGTCACCACTGTCGTTTATCACAATGTGCTTATTCCAGCTACATTTTCTCTTGCAAGCAACACGTTTCAGTATTGTAGGACCAGTAGCACATATGCTATTCTGCACCTTACTGTGCTGACAAGGAGTGCTGCTAGCAAAGCCTGTTTCATTTTAATTGATTTTACTCTCAGTGCTGTGACTCATCAGATTTCTGATTTTTAGTATTATGTTGAATCATAATAACATAATTTACATTTTTTTTTTCAGTGGGCAAAGATTGTTGTAAGTTTGGAAAGAGCTGTCAACCAGGCAGATGCCCACCATTACTTGCAAGAATACAGTATTTCACTGGGTGCAGGCGATGATCCCAGCACTGAGCAAAGGGGAGTCATGGTAATTAAAAGCAAAAGTAAGACACGGGCTAAGCAGCGCAAAGGAGCTGTAGCTAACTGGAAGGTAAAATTTTAGTATAATTCTCTTTAGTATTTTCCTCTGTTAGGCACTTGCATTTCTGACTCTAGTATATGTAGCTGGTATAATTAGTGTACCGGTTTTACAACCTGCATAGTTCCTTCAGGATATTATTTATGCATTACTTTTGATGAGAAGAAGCTAATGCATCTTGCTATTATTAAGTGACTTGGTAAGTTATGTATCCGTTCTGACAGATAGGTTCCGTCAGCAAATTGTACTCATTTTCCTCATCACATTAACTCAGATGTGTTATACCCTGCATGTAACATAGTTCTTCATTGTAATGAATATTCTCCTCTTCATGTGATGAAGTAATAATATCGAACTTAGATGATAATTTCAATAAATTTGCAACCACAAAATGAAAATTTCAGAAGACACAATGAAGTCCTTGTCACTCAGAAAATGATTGAAATGAAGGCCAAAATTAAATTCAGAATCATAAATGTAAAGGCAAAGTTGTCCCTGTGCTTAACTAATCAAGCATTATGCCATGAAGGCATATGGGGGAGTGGATATGTATAGATCCACATTTTCTTGACCTCAGCACTAGCTGGAGGTGAGTGGTCAGCTTCACACCCAGGCCACTTTATGCCTGGGGAAAGTGCCCCCGGTACCCATTGGAAAGAAGGTTGGGTGGATCCCAGAGCCAGTCTGGATGACATGGAGAAGAGAAAATTCTTTACCCTACTGGGACTCAAACTCCGAGCCCTTGGTTGTCCAACCCATAGCTAGTTGTTATACCGACAATACCCCAGCTCATAAATTCAAAATTATAGATGCACAAATTCAATTCATGAGCATGAGAGAACAAACAAGACATTTTGGAAGTTCTAGAAGTTGAATCATTATTAAATAAAGTTTAATATTAGAGAAACAAATGGATTTAAATGTTGATAGAATGAAGAGAATTTAATTTCCAAATTTGTGATAAAATTCAGACTTATTGGAATAAGAAGCTACATATGGCGTTTGAACAGACTTATTGGCTTGCTTAGGTTAGAATGGGTCAGTCACAGTCAAACTTACTTGACTGATGATGACAGATCTAAAAGTTTGTGATGATGTTACATTCATACATATATTAAGTTTCTGGACATTATCCATCAACCTGTTTTTACTTAAAAAAACAACATTTTGGATACTGATTTCTGTCTCCATATTCAGATAATAGTTACTTATTTGGGCCCAATTGACTGAGCTAACCCCTATCTCTGGACTCGTTTACCAGCACCAGATAGAGTATACAAGTCAAGCAGAGTACAAGCTGTCTATGAGAGCTAAGACAAAATCTTAAGAATATTAAAATACATGACATGCATGAGGCCTTGCACCAGATAACTATCAGAAAACAAGTCATTACTGGAGAGACAAAATCCCCATATGGTACCAACACAAAAACACAAATTTTCCCACCCTGTGTATACTGGATGGAGTTGTAGTTTTCTGACTTCTACTGCAATAATGGGAGTCCAGATGGGAGAGATGTCCAAGCTGGGTTGACTGATCAGATGGTCTGTCAGAGACATGTTTGTGGATTCCTTGTATTTCCAGTATGTGGTGTTTGGTTCAATCTGCAAGACCCCTAATTCATTCCAACATATTCTGTGGTCTTCTTCATACACATGTTGGGCTAATTTTTAATTTTAAACAGACCTACTCCATGGGACATTGATGAAAACTGGATCAGTTAGAGATGCCCAGGAGACAAAGCAATGTGTGTACAACATCCCATGGGATTGTGGCTGATGTTACACCAGCGAAACAAGCAGACCTTTGGAAGCCTGCTTTAAAGAGCACACATATAACCTGACACAGAATTTACTTGAAACAATCAAAATTATCCCAACATGCATATGCAGAAGGCAATAAAATGTGTTGGAATGAATTGAGGGTCTTGCAGATTGAACCAGATACCACATACAGGAAATAAAGGAATCCGCTCACATGTCTCTGATATACCATCCAACAGTCAACCGAGCCTGGACCTCCCCCATCTGGACTCCTTTTTTCACAGCAGAAGTCAAAAAGCTACAATTCGATCCAGCGTAGATTAAGTGTGAAAATATGTGTTTTTGTGTTGGTATCATATGGAGAATTTGTCTTTCCAGTGATGACTTCTTTTCTGATAGTTCTGTGGAGTTTGTAATATTTCAAGGTTTTTTCTTAGCTCTTGCAAATGGTTTTTTGCAGTGCTTGGCTTGTACACCCTATGTGGTGTTGGTACAGTTGTCTGGAGATAAGAGACTAGCTCTATCAATTGGGCCCAACTGAGTAGGTGTTAACTGAAGATAAAGACAGAATCCAGTCTCTGAAACATTGTGTTTTTAAATAAGAACAGGATGATTGGTATGCCCAGAAACATAAAAAGGTAAATTTTCCCTGTGCTTAAATAATTAAACACTACACCATGAAGGCATATGGGAGAGTGGATGTATACATCCATATTTTCTTGACCTTGGCACCAGTTGGAGGTGAGTGGTCAGCTTCATGCCTGGCTGCTTTACCCCCAGGGAAAGAATCCCTGTTACCCTTAAGCCCAAAAATTCACATGGATATGATGAAATCTCTACCAAATTACTTAAAGCAAGCTCTGTTTACATCAGTTCACCCTTGAATCATCTATGTAATAAATCTTTATCATCAGGTACTTTTCCTCAACGCTTAAAATACGCT